GCGTACATGTGCGTACAGGACCGTGTATGCGTACATGTGCGTACAGGACCGTGTATGCGTACATGTGCGTACAGGACCGTGTATGCGTACATGTGCGTACAGGACCGTGTATGCGTACATGTGCGTACAGGACGGTGTATGCGTACATGTGCGTACAGGACCGTGTATGCGTACATGTGCGTACAGGGCCGTGTATGCGTACATGTGCGTACAGGACCGTGTATGCGTACATGTGCGTACAGGACCGTGTATGCGTACATGTGCGTACAGGACCGTGTATGCGTACATGTGCGTACAGGACCGTGTATGCGTACATGTGCGTACAGGACCGTGTATGCGTACATGTGCGTACAGGACCGTGTATGCGTACATGTGCGTACAGGACCGTGTATGCGTACATGTGCGTACAGGACCGTGTATGCGTACATGTGCGTACAGGACCGTGTATGCGTACATGTGCGTACAGGACCGTGTATGCGTACATGTGCGTACAGGACCGTGTATGCGTACATGTGCGTACAGGACCGTGTATGCGTACATGTGCGTACAGGACCGTGTATGCGTACATGTGCGTACAGGACCGTGTATGCGTACATGTGCGTACAGGACCGTGTATGCGTACATGTGCGTACAGGACCGTGTATGCGTACATGTGCGTACAGGACCGTGTATGCGTACATGTGCGTACAGGACCGTGTATGCGTACATGTGCGTACAGGGCCGTGTATGCGTACATGTGCGTTCAGGACCGTGTATGCGTACATGTGCGTACAGGGCCGTGTATGCGTACATGTGCGTTCAGGACCGTGTATGCGTACATGTGCGTACAGGACCGTGTATGCGTACATGTGCGTACAGGACCGTGTATGCGTACATGTGCGTGCGCGGAGGCGGAATAGCGTGCGTACATGGACCAGCTCAACTTTCACTCCAGGCGGCGCGGCGCCACCACCACAGCCACAGTAATGTAATAACAACGACCAGCGTGACAGTAGCTGAGATCAGCGTGACTAGCTAAGATCAGCGTGACTGTAGCTGAGATCAGCGTGACTAGCTAAGATCAGCGTGACTAGCTAAGATCAGCGTGACTAGCTGAGATCAGCGTGACTAGCTAAGATCAGCGTGACTAGCTGAGATCAGCGTGACTGTAGCTGAGATCAGCGTGACTAGCTAAGATCAGCGTGACTAGCTAAGATCATCGTGACTAGCTGAGATCAGCGTGACTAGTTGAGATCAGCGTGACTAGCTAAGATCAGCGTGACTAGCTGAGATCATCGTGACTAGCTGAGATCAGCGTGACTGTAGCTGAGAACAGCGTGATTGTAGCTGAGATCAGCGTGACTAGCTGAGATCAGCGTGACTAGTTGAGATCAGCGTGACTGTAGCTGAGATCAGCGTAACTAGTTGAGATCAGCGTGACTGTAGCTGAGATCAGCGTGACTGTAGCTGAGATCAGCGTGACTGTAGCTGAGATCAGCGTGACTAGCTGAGATCATTTGTAGAACGCTTAAGAGTTTTACTGAACATGATCTGCGAGACTTTCCTCGATAACGAGGGGCCAGATTCACGAAAGCACTTACGCAAGCACTTACGAACCTGTACATCTTTTCTCAATCTTCGGCGGCTTTGTTTACAATGATTAAACAGTTAATGCGCTCCGAAGCACCAGGAGGCTGTTTATAACAATAACAACAGTTGATTGGCAAGTTTCATGCTTGTAAACTGTTTAATAAATGTAACCAAAGCCGTCAGAGATTGAAGAAAATTGTACCACATTCGTAAATACTTGCGTAACTACTTCGTGACTCTGGCCCCCCCTGGCTATTAAAGTACAGAGTTTCAACTTCAGGCACTGTATCACGTTTCTCGATTGGTGTCTTGAGTTTCATTAAGAAAAAAATATCCTAGGCATCCTCGCGACAAAGTAAGCAGTTTGTTTTGATATCAAACAAATCGTCACTTGATCTTTGAACACTGATTTCTAAGGAAGATTATTTTTCTCTTGCTTTCACTGGTGCAACAATGTTTCTTTCCCTAGTGTAGGATTTTGTAAATCTTCCAGGCACAAACTTGTTTGTCTTTCTAAGTGACGTATTTTTTGTGTCACCTATTTGTTTTCACTTGATTGTCTTAAATGTATTAAATCATTTTTCTTTAATTTCAATAATATTATCATTTGACAGAGACTTTTCTCAAATGAAGCACAAATCCGAATCCATTTCAAATGACGCAAAAATGTTATATAACAATAACACAAGTAATATTATATGTTGTAATATATTCAAACTGCGGTACAGTCCTGAAAAAAATAGAAAACCCTCAATGATTCACTAATATTGTCGGCTTACCATTACAGACTTTCCTATAACCTTATGTATAGTACTTAAAAACAAAGCAAGAAAATAAACAACATGTTAATGTACTAATTTACCAAGAAATTAATAATAAATATATTCAGATCCTTTTTCTAGAAAACTATTAACCCAACATAGAAAATGGTAAGCGCCAGGTTTGGTAAAGAATTAAATTTCCTTTCAAAAAGTATTAGTTACCCATTTAGCTAATACTGAAAAAAGAGATAAGAACATAAGAACAAAGGTAACTGCAGAAGGCCTATTGGCCCATACGAGGCAGCTCCTATTTATAACCACCCAATCCCACTCATATACATGTCCAACCCATGCTTGAAACAATCGAGGGACCCCACCTCCACCATGTTACGCGGCAATTAGTTCCACAAATCAACAACCCTGTTACTGAACCAGTATTTACCCAAGTCTTTCCTAAATCTAAACTTATCCAATTTATACTTTAGATATTTGACAAAAGGCACATTTTCGCCATTTTTTCCAAGATGGCGGCGGAAACTCACCTCTCCCGAGGGGGAAAATAGAGTAGAATAAGGACCCGTATAATCAAAGGATTTAACATAGTTTCCAGCACTCTGGAAATTATTTCCGAATTGCCATTATATTTTGGCTTAATTGAATGCGCTATATATCAGTTTTTCTCTTTAATATTGTTATTTTAACGTAAGTATTTCCAGGCGTCTCTAATTGCCTTCTGTAACTAATATTTCAGCCAGTTCTCGCCAGCGCTCCCAATGGCAAGAAACTTGTACTAAAGAGCCCTAACCTAACTAACCAGAGGACCCAGGATAACGGGGCATTAAGCCAATTTAAAAACAAAATATGTTAGGATCGTCCCATCACTAGTGATGAGGTACGTTACCGGGTGAGGGGAGGGGGTAGAGAAGCAACCCTTAGGGTGTAGTGTGCAGTGTACTGAGTGCTAGTGTTATTAGAGTGTGTGTGTGTGTATTGAGTGTGTGCTGAGAGTACGAGTTACTATACCTTATTCTTTACTGAATCTAGATTTATCTAAGTTGTAATCATAGTTTTGTGTTGCTATATTTGGTTATCTATCAATATCTTCCCTTATCATGCCCTTTCATTCATCTGTTACACTCAGATCGGGTTTCCACTTTCCCTTCATCGTTCTTGGGAATATAAAATACTTATTCTTAATCTGTCCTCATTAGGAACACTTTAAATACCTGTGATCAACTTTGCTGTCTTGTCCTGCACAATTTCACAGTAATTTATATACATTCTATAATGTAGTGTCTTATACTGAATTGTATAAAATGTATGTAGGGCCAACTAAGGTAATTGTGAGGAAAAGCGTTAAGCCAGTATAACTATATGACGCTTGGAAGGAAAGTGACAAGTAACTGGTATATGAGGATGGTGGTCAACCACTTGGACTATCGGGAATCGAACGCCGACCTTACACAAGACGAGGCCTTCGCTCTACCGACCTATTTTATCTAAAATAAAAATGCAGGCTACCATTGTCTTATTTTCTAATGTTCCAAGTTACAAATCCAGTATCCGGTCCACCGTGGTCCAGGTAGCGAGGACCTCACACGTGTCTGGTCCACCGTGGCCCAGGTAGCGAGGACGTCACACGTGTCTGGACCACCGTGGTCCGGGCAGCCAGGACCACCACGACTCAAGAACCAGCCACCAAGCAGTAAATCGATTTCCGTGAGAAGCGGCCTTGTGCCACGCCTCGCGCGACGCTCCAGTCAACTTGCTTAATGTCACCTGACAGTCACGACTGCTGATCCTCGCCTGATGCAGCCTCTGCGTTATCTCCTAAGGTGTTCTCTGCTTCACAAATCCCTCACGGGGGTAGAGATAATGTTGAGTCAAACCTTGACCAAAAGTCATAAGGATAGGACATTGGGAAATGTGTGGTCACTTTAATCCTTCCTAACCCTTGCTGCGTCACTTTAACCATTCCTCGTCCTATCCCAATAATCACGTCTTCATAAGTCTGTAAATTCTCAATTCGTCTCGACTCTAGTCTCGTATACACGTGCCACGTGCTCGAAACACCACACGTAATTCACGTTTCTTTCGTTCCATATTCATTCCGACTGTAAGTTATCCGTCGTGTTCAATTTGGTGTGGCGAGCACCACACTCGCCTTGAGCGACGCACAGCATCATAATCTTCCCGGCTGGGCGGGAAGACACAGTCTTACTTGAGCGACACCGTCTTGGGAAGAGTCTGGGTGTCGCTACAACTGCTCGAACCTCAAGAATATTTATCCTCCTTCCCGTCCCTGTTTTTGTCTTAGCACCAGTTCAGGTCTTCACCACAGCGTACGCTTCCAGCGTCATAATGTACGCCTCGTGTTCCATATTCTATTAACAGCACAAGTTCCCTGTTTCACAGTTGATCACAGGTGGGCTACCCCTCAGTTGCATAAACCACAGTACTACTGTTGCACAGTCCATCACAGCACACGCCACATGTGTTATTACCGTGCCAACAGTACCGTAGGCCTACTAGCTGAAGGTGATCCCCAACATCTTAAGGAATCTACCCACTGGAGCATCTATAGGGTTCATAATTAATGCCAAGTTCGACGACGGTGACCACCACACCTGCTACCCTCCCCCCCCCAGACAAGTATTGGGCACCACTTACCATTTGGGGGCATGGCGGTGACTACAGCAGCAGCAGCAGAAAGCACCAGCAGCAGCAGACAACGCATCAACCCTGCCATCACTGCGGTGTCAGCTGCTACACTGTCGCGGGCGGCGTTGTAGACCCGCCTTATATACTCTCTCTTTCTCTCTCCCGTGGCGCTTCGGCTTTCTATCTCCCTAACCCTCCTTCCCTCCTCTCTTCATCCTCTGCTCCCTCCCGATCTCCCCAATATCCCTCGTTACCCTTCCAGGCGCGGCAGATGGAGTAGGCAGTAGCTGTCCCTCATCTTTCATGGTGTGGGGTGAATGGCGCTCTGAATCAGCCGTGTGGTGGCAGCTGTCAACGAGGCTGACTCTTTAAGATAACCAGAGTACGACTACTGGGGAACTTGGAGCATCAGTCCATAACGCACTATGTGAGCGTCCATCAAGCACCATAGACCATCTTCCAGTCTCAGTGTCGCGAGTGTCTAATCTTGGTCAATTGCAGGTCTTACAATAGCTGCAGCACAATATTGTTGATATCAACTCCGTCATCGTCAAAGGGCACGATAACAGTCATAATAGGAGAAATATTCAAAATAACAATCAAATTGTAATGAGCCGGCCGATTATACACGAGACTGAGGCCGGGTCAGAACATTGACTGGGGGGGGGGGGGGGAGGGGGAAGAACATTCATTGGAAGAGGCAGAACATTTAACGGAAGAGAGGCAGAACAATTAATACAAGGGGGGAGTTAATGCAGAACATTTCATTCAAGGAAGATGACAATACTTGATGGGAATGAGAGAGGTAGAACATTTAACGGATGGGGAATATATATACTAACATATACCACTCGTTCATTCATTATATGATCTACAATAACAACAGCAATAAACACACTAGCAGTCATCTCTGATAGATATTAATTTTGCTGTCAAACAGAACGCAAAGAATGACAGTCAATCAAATAAAATCATGTATGTATAAGCACAGTCAAACGCTCTGTACTTCAGAGCACAGTCAAACGCTCTGTACCTCAGGGCACAGTCCTTGTATCATGTTTTTTTTTCTCATTCTTATATCAGCTATAGACATAAACACAAGTCACAGGTTCGTGCCATCATTTGTCGACAGTGCAAAAATGTAAAAAATGTAAATAAATGTCAAAAATGTAAATAAATTCTTCGTCTGGGCGACGAAAAATAACATGATGTTTAACAGTGATCAATTATAGGTACTTAGTTAAAGTGGAAATTAACTAAAACGAAATACAAAATCCAAGACACAATCAGATCTCATAGAAGAAAAACAACATATAAAGGATCTGGGAATAATGATGAGTGAAGACCTGACGCTTAGTGAGCATAACCAAGCAAGTATAGCCTCAGCCAGGACAAAGATAGGATGGATTATGAGAACCTTCAAATCCAGGGATCCCATCACAGTGCTCATACTATTCGAATCACAGGTACTGTCCCGCCTTGAGGACTGTCGATACTCACTTCCCCTTTCATAGCAGATGAGACTGCTGAAACAGAGAACATATACGGCACGCAGAGACACGATAAAGTACCTAAATTATTGGGACCGTCTCAAAGCTTCCAAAATGTACTCCCTAGCAAGGAGACGAGAGAAATATCACATATGTATATAAAAGATACTGGAAGGCCAGGTCCCAAAATTTACGGCTGTTCAATACCGTCTCAGCAAGAATAAGAAATATTACCGGAACAGAGATGAACATTTTAAGATAAAATTTGACGTTCCAGTTGTAGTGGATATGTGGGCCCGCTGGCTGCTGGAAGCAACAGCCTGTTGGACCAAGTTATCACAAGTCAAGCCTAGCTCTAGACCGGACTTGGGAAGTGGAAGAACTCCCAAAACACACTTTAGTTATGATCCAAGTTTGTCTACATCCATCTCATTAACACTTACAGCTTTCCCACACATGTTTATATATCTCATCAAGACCTGTAACTTTCCCACACTTGAGCCTCCTCACTGAAGCACTCGCCTGTCGTACAGAGAAGGCAGTTGGCTAGCGACGTGGTTCTCATCTCACACCATCAAATCCAATCATACTCACATTACCACCTCCATCACCTCCACCATTTAGACTTTCGACGAATTTTCTCTCCGCCTGCTTCTAATATTTCTTACCGTTTATCATGCTCCCAAGCCTCTTTTTATCATTCTCATTTGTCCGTTCACCAAAATCTGTTAATCTACTTGCTATCTCTTGTTTTTGTATTTTCTGCTCAATTAATCCCATCGCCTACGATACCTTTTGCTCCTATCGTACTCTTGTCTCTCACTCGATCCTTCACTTTGGATCCATAAAAACCACATATTTCTCTAATGTGCAATCCGGTTCCCAGCTGGAGCTCTGCTTGTAAAGTTGATCCCAAACATTATATATTTGTAGTGTTGCATCGCTGGTGGAAACACGTGAAGAGCGATGCTGCAGCTACGATAGCTTTTACTGGCTAAGGGACAGGATTAAGACAATGACGTTCGAATTAAGGGACATCACCTCCAAGCAATAACGTCCAAGTGACATCACTCACACAGTACCATCCTAGTTGAGGGACATCACCCTGACAATATCGTCCAGGGGACATCACCCTGACAATATCGTCCAGGGGACATCACTCTGACAATATCGTCCAGGGGACATCACCCTGACAATATCGTCCAGGGGACATCACCCTGACAATATCGTCCAGAGGACATCACTCTGACAATATCGTCCAGGGGACATCACCCTGACAATATCGTCCAGGGGACATCACTCTGACAATATCGTCCAGTGGACATCACCCTGACAATATCGTCCAGGGGACATCACTCTGACAATATCGTCCAGGGGACATCACCCTGACAATATCGTCCAGGGGACATCACCCTGACAATATCGTCCAGGGGACATCACCCTGACAATATCGTCCAGGGGACATCACCCTGACAATATCGTCCAGGGGACATCACCCTGACAATATCGTCCAGGGGACATCACTCTGACAATATCGTCCAGGGGGCATCACCCTGACAATATCGTCCAGGGGACATCACCCTGACAATATCGTCCAGGGGGCATCACCCTGACAATATCGTCCAGGGGACATCACCCTGACAATATCGTCCAGGGGACATCACCCTGACAATATCGTCCAGGGGGCATCACTCTGACAATATCGTCCAGGGGACATCACCCTGACAATATCGTCCAGGGGACATCACCCTGACAATATCGTCCAGGGGACATCACTCTGACAATATCGTCCAGGGGGCATCACCCTGACAATATCGTCCAGGGGACATCACCCTGACAATATCGTCCAGGGGGCATCACCCTGACAATATCGTCCAGGGGACATCACCCTGACAATATCGTCCAGGGGACATCACTCTGACAATATCGTCCAGGGGACATCACCCAAACAGTGAGCCAATCACAACCGTCGCAGAAAAGCTTCGAGTGAAGACTCGCCGCCTGTCATTTCAAACAACAATTACAAAAGACCAAAACAGTCATTCTGGTCGATACATTTTGGACGCGGCAAACAACACGTCTCGCGGGATGTTGACAGCAAACAAGAGGACAGCGTTGCCAAGCAAACAACTAATTGTCTCTCCGAGGGTGAAACTTTTCTTTGAGAGTGAGAATAAGAGTGAATAAGATAAAGCAAATGAGAGAGTAAACATGAGTGAATGAGAGATTAAGGGTGCGACAATGTGGGTGCTAAAAGAGAAAGAGAGTGTGACTTCACGCTGAATTAACTAAGAAAACAAATCCCAATGGAATTGTTTAAACTCCTTAAGAGCAGATTCTTGAAGTGATTGTAAAGGTTGATGTTATCTGGTAGATTAGCGTGTGGGTGTAGGAACCAGTCAGTCCAGTGTGGACCAATACACCTGAACTCTCAGTTGAGTATTGAAAAGAAAGGGATAGATTAAGGCAGTGTCTGGGATGCTCCCGGACGCAGGTTCGAATCTTCGTCACGGCCCTTGTGGATTTGTTCGTGTGATAGTTTTATTTTTTATTTTATGTATACATTCTTGTACAGCCACCAGCAGGCATGGCGTTTCGGACAGGTCCATAATACTAATTTTACCCCAGGTATACGACCCGCCAAATCGTTTAACAACCAGGTATCCAGTCACTGCTGGGTCAACAGAGGCTACGGTTAAGGATTGGTACCCGGTCAATCCTCCCCGGCCAGGATACGAACCCAGACCAAAGCGCTTGCGAAGCGCTGGCCGAATGTTTTAGCACGACGCCACAGGGACTGTGTGTTTCATACATAGTGATACATATGTATTTGAATGTGTGTGTATTTACTATTTTAGTCTGCAGAATCGAGCTATTAGCTCTTGGACCCCGCCTTTCTAACCAATCTATTTTTCCTCAATTATATCTACTACATATATTTCTCTAACACTCACATACACACACACACATACACCCCTGTTACGGACCCGAGCCCAGCGTCCGAGCACGGAGCAGTGACGACCGCGCCATCTGTGGGTCAGCTCCCGAAACCCCCTCCAAATGGACGACGCCACCTAGTGAGGACGAGATATACTGGCCACAAGGGTGTTGTGGTGAGGAGAGTGATCTGTGGGATCACACGAGGCTCCTGACTAGGGCTCGCTACCCTAGTATCGGTCGTGGAGTGGCCTACGCAGCGTTGCTGATTGGAACCTGCCAGCTACAGGCTGGATTTGTGGTTGACGGCCTCCACGACGGTGCCCCCAGTGGAACTGTGATTTGGCTGGCCTGTGGCCAGGGTAGACTCAAGAGAATCGAAGGATTCATCGTGAGGCCACAAGAGGACCAAGAGCTTAGCATCGTTGAGCACCGTGAACGTTCAGAGTCTTCAGAGGAAGACTACGTTGTATATAATAGTGTTTATTCCTCCCCCGTGTGATCATTTATATATTATTTAATGGTGATAGTGATAATTATATTATTAAGTTTTTGCCTTTGTCTCCCTTCCCCTTTCATTTACTTGCGTTACGGAGCACACCCCTTGAAAGCCACTACTAGCTTGGGGCCGGATACCCAAACTATACTAACATCAGAGAAAGAACCCAGTTGCGACCCGAGA